CCTGAGTTGGTTGGCGCTCATGCTCCTGATCGTGGCAGCCATATGCACCAGTAACCCCAGCCATGTTTCTTGCAGGCTCCTGATCGTGGCAGCCATATGCACCAGTAACCTCAGCCATGTTTCTTGCAGGCGTCTGTTAATAACTAGAACTGCGAAAGAACAGTCTACATGAAGTGACGAAGACTGTCGAAGCACGAAGAGGTATGGATGGCATGGCCAAGGCCCCGCACCGCCTCCGGAACCAACTGCACGACATTGAGGGGCGCTCCAATAGGTAGTCGAGTGGCACTGAATACGCGTTCTTATACAATTCAAGTAGCTTAAATGGTATGAATAATGGTATGAATAATTCTTTTGTTATGCGCACATGTTAACAACTTTGGCTCAACATTATATGTCAACACCGCTCCATGAGGTATGTCCTGCTTATCGGGTTGAACTTCATAGCTGTGAAAGCTTTTGGTATTTTTGGTATTGAAGGTCTCTGCTTCATTGCAAGTGTGGATGGTGAGCCATTGGATCACCTCTCTCAACCAGCTGCAATCTACTCCGACCAAGGACTTGTTTGCTCGTTTGGCTTGTTTGTTGACTTTGGGGATTTGTTTGAATAATTGTATTGCCAAATACAGAAGTACGGAGGGCCCTATGCCAACCACGGATATCACACCAGGACGAGACAGTCCGAGTTTTGGCCATTCCAGCACAGAATGCAGAGTCAGACTACAGGTACCAACTAAGCTTTATTAAGACGGATTACAGAAAATAGACGACGAGAAAGACTAGAAAAAGTCGAGGTCGAAATCGCTTGACGAGTGATGTTAGATTGCCTTTATCTTTGGTTTTGCCTACAATAGGACGCCGTCTCTTATATATGAGAAGACAACAACAACGGCGACGCGCAGATCGACATTGCGGGCCAACGGCATCCATGCAAGTAAGTGAAGCGCGCGGGCACTGCGCGGGTGGTTGGGTTGGTTCGGCCTTGAGTAGAGGCACCTGAATAGTGGGTTCTGTTGCTTGTCGGTGGGCGGGGGAATTCTAGTTGGGTTCGCGAGGTCCGTAGGTCAGTAGGAAAGGTGGTTTTATCTCGGCCTCCCGCAGTTGGCGAGGCTTTAGCTGGGAGTCCGTTTTGCCGGGAGT